GAGAGGAGGAGAGAGAGAGAGGGAAAGAAGAGAGAGAGAGAGGGGGGGGGGGGAGAAGAGTAGAGGAGATAGGAGGATAGGGGAGAAAAGAGAGAGATAGAGAGAGAGATAGAGGAGAGATAGGAGAGAGTAAGGGAGAGATGAAGAAGATAGAGAAGATAGAGGAGTAAGGAAAGATAGAGAGGAAAAAGAGAGATAGAGAGAGATAGAGAGAGATAAGAGGAAAGAGAGAGATAGAGAGAGATAGAGAAGGGTAGAGAGAGATAGAGAGGATAGAGAGAGATAGAGAGAGATGAGGATATAGAGAGTTAGGAGATATAGAGGAAAATAGGAGATATAGCAAGAGGCATACAGAGCACCAGGAGCTGTACTCGATCCCCGAAACCATATAGGTGATTTTTTCTTTTTTCTTGTTTTTCTCTTTTTTAATACCTCGCCAGTGTCACTCCATCGAAGGTGCGGGAGAGACAGAGAATGTCCCCAGAGTCTGAAACCACCTTACTTACCCGGCCCCCAATTCAGTTTTTTAAACCCCACCCCGGCCCGGGGTTTTAACCGCGGTCATAGTCCAAAATCCGCCCGTCGCGTTACCAAGACCCGCTGCCCCAATAAGATTCATCCAACTAGGTATATTTCTACACCACTAGCTGGTCTAGTGGCTAACGCGACGGGCTGGAGTTTTGAGACTATGACCGCGGGTTCAATCCCGGCCGGGGGTATGGTTTGTTTACAATCGTGTTATTACGATTTCTTGAGTCAGTTTTTTAATGTTAAAGATTTTAATGAGTGCCAGGAGGATGGGGAGGGGACGTGTCCAGTGCCAGGGAGTGAGGAATGTTATATTGACCAGTGCCAGGGGATGAGGAACGTTGCATTGACCAGTGCCAGGGGGTGAGGAATGTTGTATTGACCAGTGCCAGGGAGTGAGGAATGTATTGACCAGTGCCAGTGAGTGAGGAATGTTGTATTGACCAGTGCCAGGGGGTGAGGAACGTTGTATTGACCAGTGCCAGGGGGTGAGGAACGTTGTATTGACCAGTGCCAGGGGTGAGGAACGTTGTATTGACCAGTGCCAGGATGTGAGAAACGTTGTATTGACCAGTGCCAGGTGAGGAATGTATTGACCAGTGCCAGGTGAGAAACTTTGTATTGACCAGTGCCAGAGGGGTGAGGAACGTTGTATTGACCAGTGCCAGGGGGTGAGGAACGTTGTATTGACCAGTGCCAGGGGGTGAGGAACGTTGTATTGACCAGTTCCAGGGAGGTGAAAAACGTTGTATTGACCAGTGCCAGGATGTGAAAAACGTATTGACCAGTGCCAGGTGAGAAACGTATTGACCAGTGCCAGGGGGTGAGGAACGTTGTATTGACCAGTGCCAGGGGTGAGGAACGTTATATTGACCAGTGCCAGGGGGTGAAGAGCGTTGTATTGATCAGTGCCAGGGAGGTGAGAAACGTTGTATTACCAGTGCCAGGATGTGAGAAACGTTGTATTGACCAGTGCCAGGGAGGTGAGAAACGTATTGACCAGTGCCAGGATGTGAGAAACGTTGTATTGACCAGTGCCAGTTGGTGAGGAACGTTGTATTGACCAGTGCCAGGAACGTTGTATTGACCAGTGCCAGGAAGGTGAGAAACGTTGTATTGACCAGTGCCAGGGGGTGAGAAACGTTGTATTGACCAGTGCCAGGGGGGTGAGGAACGTTGTATTGACCAGTGCCAGGGGGTGAGGAACGTTGTATTGACCTGTGCCAGGGGGGGTGAGGAACGTTGTATTGACCTGTGCCAGGGGGGTGAGGAACGTTGTATTGACCTGTGCCAGGTAGTGAGGAACGTTGTATTGACCAGTGCCAGGTAGTGAGGAACGTTGTATTGACCAGTGCCAGGTAGTGAGAAACGTTGTATTGACCAGTGCCAGGTAGTGAAGAACGTTGTATTGACCAGTGCCAGGTAGTGAGGAACGTTGTATTGACCAGTGCCAGGTAGTGAGAAACGTTGTTTTGACCAGTGCCAGGTAGTGAGGAACGTTGTATTGACCAGTGCCAGGTAGTGAGGAACGTTGTATTGACGAGTGCCAGGTAGTGAGAAACGTTGTATTGACCAGTGCCAGGTAGTGAAGAACGTTGTATTGACCAGTGCCAGGTAGTGAGAAACGTTGTATTGACCAGTGCCAGGTAGTGAAGAACGTTGTATTGACCAGTGCCAGGTAGTGAGGAAACGTTGTATTGACCAGTGCCAGGTAGTGAAGAACGTTGTATTGACCAGTGCCAGGTAGTGATGAACGTTGTATTGACCAGTGCCAGGTAGTGAGGAACGTTGTATTGACCAGTGCCAGGTAGTGAAGAACGTTGTATTGACCAGTGCCAGGTAGTGAAGAACGTTGTATTGACCAGTGCCAGGTAGTGAGAAACGTTGTATTGACCAGTGCCAGGGGGTGAGAAACGTTGTATTGACCAGTGCCAGGTAGTGAGAAACGTTGTATTGACCAGTGCCAGGTAGTGAGAAACGTTGTATTGACCAGTGCCAGGTAGTGAGAAACGTTGTATTGACCAGTGCCAGGTAGTGTGGAACGTTGTATTGACCAGTGCCAGGTAGTGAGAAACGTTGTATTGACCAGTGCCAGGTAGTGAGAAACGTTGTATTGACCAGTGCCAGGTAGTGAGAAACGTTGTATTGACCAGTGCCAGGTAGTGTGGAACGTTGTATTGACCAGTGCCAGGTAGTGAGAAACGTTGTATTGACCAGTGCCAGGTAGTGAGAAACGTTGTATTGACCAGTGCCAGGTAGTGAGAAACGTTGTATTGACCAGTGCCAGGTAGTGTGGAACGTTGTATTGACCAGTGCCAGGTAGTGAGAAACGTTGTATTGACCAGTGCCAGGTGTGAGAAACGTTGTATTGACCAGTGCCAGGGGGGTGAGGAACGTTGTATTGACCAGTGCCAGGGGGGTGAGGAACGTTGTATTGACCAGTGCCAGGTAGTGAGGAACGTTGTATTGACCAGTGCCAGGTAGTGAGGAACGTTGTATTGACCAGTGCCAGGTAGTGAGGAACGTTGTATTGACCAGTGCCAGGTAGTGAGAAACGTTGTATTGACCAGTGCCAGGTAGTGAGAAACGTTGTATTGACCAGTGCCAGGTAGTGAGAAACGTTGTATTGACCAGTGCCAGGTAGTGAGGAACGTTGTATTGACCAGTGCCAGGGGGTGAGAAACGTATTGAATGTAAGTTTTGGGACTCGCCGTTCAAGGACGTAGCTATTCTTTCCAGGGAAGGTCCTGGTGGTGGGCTCTTGATTCAGAGAATTAGAGCTACATCCCTCCCTTTCCTCTGATCAAACTTGATTCCCCCCCCCGTGCTGTATAACCCATACGGTTTTGGCGCTTCCCATGAATAGTCTAGTAGCGTCTATGACGTCAGCACGAGTGAGGTTAATTGCTCATTTGGACCAGCTTTAACCAGGCAGTTACTGTTAATGTCACTAAAGACGTTGAAGGATGATTGTTGTGTGATTGTTGCCCCGTTGTTGAGATTGTTGCTCCGTTGTGATTGTTGCCACATTGACGGGTGATTATTGCTCCATTGTTGTGATTGCCTTGTTGATGGGTGATGCTCCTTTGTGATTGTTGCTCCATAGAATTATTGTTGCCCCGTTGAAGGGTGATTGTTGTTTCATTGAAGGATTGTTGCCTTGTTGGTGGGTGATTGTTGCCCCGTTGAAGTGTTTCTAAGTTACTTTATAAGCAAGTTGTCTTGCTTCAGGGGCAAGTAAGGAAGATGAGTTTGACGAACAGGAAAGAGGGAGGGAGGAAGGGGAGAGGAGAGAGGGGAAAGAGGGAGGGAGGAAAGAGAAGGGGGAAGGAGAAATGGGAGAGGAGAGGAAAGTAAAGTGTAGACAACTCCAGTAAGATTGATAACGAGGAGGGCTGTTGAAGCTTATTCCTTGGGTAGCATTGAAAATGGGCTGACCAAATATTTTTGTTAGTGGGTTTGAGAAGGTCCAGCCTAGTATGGGTCAGTAGACCTGCAGTGTTCCTCCTTTCTTATGTTCTTATTTTAAGAAGGAAAGAGGTACAAAGGAAAATAGGAAGAAGGGGGAAAGATAATTTTAGGACTGAGAAAGGGGACGAGGCAGAAGGAAGATAGTGAAAATGGAAGAAGCAGATGGGATGAGGAAGGTAAAAGTGGGTTTTAATAATTTTATTTAAATATACTTTGATAATGGAAGAAAAAGATAAGACGATCTCAGCCTTATCAGTAACTGATGACACACGAGTGTCAGCAGCTGATGGTGACACTTGCACGTGTCATTTACTGGTGACACGTAGATGTTATCAGCAGGTGGTAACAGGTGTACGTAAGTCACTTGTTACTTATGACAGTTAACGCATTTTCCTGTATATAAAGCGAGCTTTTTTTTCCCGCACAAAAAAAAAAAATCTTTAAAAATTACCCTGGGCCTTGTATGTCATGGTCAAGGGTAGGCTTTGGGTTGTTACTATTACTACTACTACTACCACCACCACCACCACCACCAACATTGGAAATAAATGGTATAAAATACCTACACAATGGAAAAAATAAACACAGAAGCAGTGTAATATGATCCTTTATTGACAACGTTTCGCCCACACTGTGGGCTATATCAAGTCACAAACAGATCCACCCAGGTAGATCTGTTTGTGGCTTGATAAGCCCACAGTGTGGGCAAAACGTTGTCAATGAAGGATCACATTATACTGCTTCTGTGTTTCTTTTCCCACTTCAACATTGCCCCTACTTTTTCATCTTCTTTCTTCAGAACTACGGTACACTCCAAGGCTGAGGGACTGATTATCTCTTTTGTATATAGTTCTACTGTCTTCCATTATATTTTTGAATTTGTATTGATAAAGCCACTGGATGGCGAAACGTCCACAAATGGATACCCAGATGTTACCCGTGTGTCGTAATTGTTCATATTGTCGGTATTGTGTACCATTTATATACATTGTGACTTACAGGTACACCCGCTGGTGTACAAGCAGGACACTGAGACGCTGTTGGGCAAGATCCTTCCCCACGACGACTCTGTCAATGACAGGTCCCCCGGCTCCAGGTGCGTTCATCTTCATCCCAGGTACTGCAAGTAGCCTCTGCCTTGGGACATACCTCATTATCCATCCCTTCTCCCTCAAACTTGGTTACCTTCTGTTCATCAGGCGCTATATAATCCCAAATTTCAATAGGCTTAGTGCTCTACCATGAGAACCACAAGTTTTCCATTAGTACTTCATATGCTATTTGTACTCGTCTAGAGAAGGGGGAAGGGGGAGGATAATATGGAAGGAAAGGTGGAGAGGAAAGGGTGCAGACATAACAATTTAGAAATACCTTTCGCAAACATTTACAAAAGAACAGCCTCGTACATATTTCTTGCAGTGTGTTTATCAGTATCCCCTTCCCCTCAAAACACCATATCATAGACCCCCCTAACGCCGTGTCATAGACCCCCCCTAACGCCGTGTCATAGACCCCCCCTAACGCCGTGTCATAGACCCCCCTAACGCCGTGTCATAGACCCCCCTAACGCCGTGTCATAGACCCCCTAACGCCGTGTCATAGGACCCCCCTAACGCCGTGTCATAGACCCCCCTAAACGCCGTGTCATAGACCCCCTAACGCCGTGTCATAGACCCCCCTAACGCCGTGTCATAGACCCCCCTAACGCCGTGTCATAGACCCCCCTAACGCCGTGTCATAGACCCCCCTAACGCCGTGTCATAGACCCCCTAACGCCGTGTCATAGACCCCCCTAACGCCGTGTCATAGACCCCCTAACGCCGTGTCATAGACCCCCTAACGCCCGTGTCATAGACCCCCCTCTTAACACCGTGTCATAGACCCCCCTCTAACACCGTGTCATAGACCCCCCTCTTAACACCGTGTCATAGACCCCCCTCTTAACACCGTGTCATAGACCCCCCCTCTTAACACCGTGTCATAGACCCCCTCTTAACACCGTGTCATAGACCCCCCTCTTAACACCGTGTCATAGACCCCCCTCTTAACACCGTGTCATAGACCCCCCTCTTAACACCGTGTCATAGACCCCCCTCTTAACACCGTGTCATAGACCCCCCCTCTTAAACACCGTGTCATAGACCCCCCTCTTAACACCGTGTCATAGACCCCCTCTTAACACCGTGTCATAGACCCCCCTCTTAACACCGTGTCATAGACCCCCCTCTTAACACGTGTCATAGACCCCCCTCTTGAACACCGTGTCATAGACCCCCCTCTTAACGCCGTGTCATAGACCCCCCTCTTAACGCCGTGTCATAAATCTCTGCTTTATATTGATATATATCCAACTTTCTATGTTTCATGCAGTCTATCACATTCATACATGTTGTATACACATCCTAGGTTTTCTACACATACATATGCTGCTATATATGATAATCTATACAACTGTATTTGTGTATACCTGAATAAACTTAAGCTTCTGCTCCCCTCCCCCCAGACTGATGTCGTCAGACGTTGAAACACGTGCCCTGTGGAGCTCAGTGTATGGCAGTACCTTCAGGAGGGAGGGGTCCATGTACCGTAGTGACCCACCACCCTCCTACCTCACACCCCTTCCCCAGGAGGTGTTACACTCCGCCCATGCTTCCATGTATCACTGTCAGATCAACAAGGTGAGACAGCCTAGTCAGTCAGTGAAAGGGGGGAGGGGGTATTATTTTACTATCATCAAATGAGGGGGAAGGAGGGATTCTATTAATCATTTGAAGGGATCGTATTGATTAGTTGGAGGGTGATTCTATTATTTGAGGGGGATTATGTTAATCACTTGAGGGGGATTATATTAATCACTTGAGGGGGTTTATATTAATCACTTGGGGGGATTTTTTAATCATTGAGGGGGTTATTTTAATCACTTGGGGGGATTATATTAATCACTTGGGGGGTTATTTTAAATCACTTGGGGGGGATTATTTTTAATCACTTGAGGGGATTATTTTAAATCACTTGGGGGGATTAATTAATCATTGCGGGGGGGATTATATTAATCACTTGAGGGGGATTATATTTTTTGGGGGGAAAGGGGTTCTTTTAAATCACTTGAGGGGGGGGGTTTTTGTTTTGGCCCCGGGCTTTAGTGGGGTTTTGTTTGGGTGCAGGGCTCTTGATCCAAGATCGGGATTCTCTTTGGATTCTCTTGACTACCTCCTGTTCTCCGGGGGCTGTGTAACTTTTACAGGTTTAATGTTTTCCCCGAGTCCAGACCTTGGTTTGGGGGGCAGGGGTTTGGAGCTATCTCCTTGGATAGTGGTTTCTTTTTTTGGCTCTTTATCTTTGTCTGTCTTTTTCATCCCCCTTCCCCCTTTTTATTCCCCAACTATCCCCTCTTTCTCCCTCATTCCTCCCCAAATTTTTCTCCCCTTCCCCTATTTATCTCCTCTCCCTTTCCCTTACTTCTTTGCCTCCTCCCTCCCTCCCTTTTTCCCTTCACAGTACCTGGAGGAAGGAGAAAAGATAATAATACCCCCCCCCTACATCTGCACCCTCGGAATGGAAGGAAGTTCATCTCCCTCCGTTTTCGCCCCTTCCCAGAAAGCCTCTCATATCCACTAGATGGGTGAGACTAACTTTGGAAGCTGGACCGATTGGGGGGGTAATTTATTTCTGTCTTTACCAAAACCCAAATAATAAGTTTAAAACCCTTTATTTGCACCTCACACCCCCGGTGTGGGTGGGGAGTCAAAAGATTTTAAAAGGGATTTAAAGGGGTTTGGGCGGGGCTGAAATTTTTAAAAGTGAAAAAGTTAGTGGTGTGACTACTTTTCATGTTTATATCTGGTTAAAATCCAAAAAAATTTTTTATGCAGACAGAATTAGATCACATGCAGAAAAAAAAGTTTAAGTGGTAAAACGAATTTCCTGGGAAAAATCGGTTTTTTTTCCCGAATGTTTTCTGAGTTCACTGTGGATAAAATACTTTTATTTTTTGAACTTTCTGAGTGGTTGCCTGAATTATTAATTTTTATTACATTTGGTACAAATGATGCAAGGGTTTTTGGGCGATTGCCCATCTGGCGGTTTTTTTCGAGTTTGGTCTACATCGGTGGTGGTGTTTAACCTCCCAGACATACTGGTAAGCCATCTCTCACTGAGGCAGGGTGACCCGAGAAAGTAAAAACACTTTCTTTCTGAAAGTTTTTATCTTTTTTACATTTAGTAATAGTTACAGATGGGGTTACTAGCACCTTGCTCCTGGCATTTTTTTTTTATTTTATATTTTGAGTTTTTTCTTAATTTTCCCCCTGCCAACAGCAACAGCCTGGTTGAGAAGGTAAGCCTGTCTCAGGGCCAGGCTGTGGGAGTACCAAAACTCTCAAAATCCTTCAAACGTATATCAAAGATCTAAGGTATTTTTTTAATCGTTCCTGATGGGATCCTTTAAGTAGACTGATTTATTTTCCATCCTTCAAACTTTGGTATAACCCAAGAATGCTTATGCAGTACAGGGATACCTTTCTTGCATCATTGAGGTACAGGGGATTGGGGATATGCAATACAACTTGACTTAAGAAATCGTAATGACACGATTGCAAATAAACCATACCCCCGGCCGGGATTGAACCCGCGGTCATAGTCTCAAAACTCCAGCCCGTCGCGCTAGCCACTAGAGTTCGTCACGGCCACGCTAGCTGGAGATTCGTCTGTAAAAACTTGCATTTGTGGTCACAGAGGTGCCTGTGCTAACTTTCCTATGGTGTAGAAATATACCTAGTTGGATGAATCTTATTGTGGCTAGCTGGTCTAGTGGCTAGCGCGACGGGCTGGAGTTTTGAGACTCTATGACCGCGGGTTCAATCCCGGCCGGGGGTATGGTTTATATGCAATACAGATATCTTTCTAGCATAACAGTGACCAAAATAATTATTATTAATCATCATCATCCATAGGAAGTGCTAATATTATTTCCTTACAGTTGGTGATCTTGGGCAAGGCTCCGGATGGACCCATCAAAATCAAAATCAAACACGAGGTGAGTTTAATCTACGTGGGTTAAGCACATGCATTTTTGAGCACGATAATACCACAGTGTGTGTACTCGCCTGAAAAGGGCTCTTGATTCAGGAAATTGGAGCTACCCCTCCCTTCGCTCAGATCAAAGTCGTGTTATCTTCAGTTCTCCAGCTCTGTACATTCTTCCTTATAAATATAAGTGAAAATATAGATAAAAAATATGATAGCAGTATAATAATATTTTTCTAATGGTGAAACACAGTAATTTCCCATTATCAGTCAACAACTTGGTGTTATATTTATGCTCGTAGGAGGCACTAAACCCATAGGGGCAATACAACCCCCTGAGGATTAGGAGGTAATAAAGTTTAAGGAAGGGAGGGGGGAAGACTCCCATTCCCTGAATCAAGACTATTGATATCTATTTAATTTCCTGTAAAAAGATTTGCTAAATTTTTTCCCTTAAAATGTAATGGTAACAGCAGTTTTGATTAAAATTAAGATTTGCATATTAGGTGAGACCTCTGTAAGTTTTGCAGTAGGCATCTGGTTAGGTAATAATGGTTCTCGATGACACCACACAAGGGTTTAGTGTTGACTAGTAGTAATAATAATTTTAATAGTTACAATTGACTAAAGTAGAAGCCATCTGGGTAACATTGGTCTTTCAAACTTATTTAGCAATACTGCATGCATCTGCAAAGTGATGCTACCCCTATTTCACTTTTGTTCCTTCAAGTAGGGTGCTTTGATGCAAATGAATTGTCCTTGATCCAAGGACTTGGAGCTCCTATTGCTTTACCTTTTAATGTTACTAGTTATATTTTTATGGCCAAGAGTGCAAAGTAATTACTAGGTCAGATCAGTAAACTTCAGGAGCTCCTTCCCTGCCCTTCCTCGAGTCCAACCTGATTACCCCTGTTCCCAAAGTGCTAATGCCCCTTACTTGTTTAGTGCTTTCCTGTGACTATAAGAGACTTGTAATGCAGAAGAAACTGTAACTGGATCTTTGTGGGTACAGATGAGGAAGGTGGCAGAGCTGAGTGTGTTCCACGAGCAGGAGAAGGGTATGTCTGAACACAATGTGGCAGACCTTGGTTTATCCTTCTCTCTCCATGACCATGTGAGTACTTTTTTTTCTCTCTCGCCCTCCCTCATGTTCCTAAGTGAAAGAAGGGTGTCCCAAAACATGGACAACCTTGGTGTATCCTTTTTCCCCTCCATGATTATGTGAGTAATTTCTTCTCTCTCTTCTCTGTTCTGCCTTCTTTCTTCTCTCCTCCTCTCATTCCTTTCTTCTCCCCTCCTTCTCCACCCTCCATTCTTATCCCTGCATTTTTCTCTTTCCCTCCCTTGTTCCTTTCTTCCTCCCTCTTGATTCCTTGTCTCCCCCCCTCCTCTCCTATCTTTCTTCCTTTACTTCCATGCATTCCTGCCCTGGTATTGCATGAGCAGGAGGGTGTGTGCAACAAAGTGGTTGATCTCAATACTCCATGTCTCCTGTCCTCCATGACCAGTGTGTGAACTGAGGTGAGACAAAAAGTGTTAGTGTGTAAGCAGTACTCAGACTGGTCTAGTGAACTCGCATAAGCCACATCACCACTGTAACCTTAAACTACAAGTACATCATATCTTCTTAAACTGGTCTTTGCTCCGAGACATGAACCACCTGAGTATTTCTGTCATGATCATATTCTTGTGTGTACTCACCTATTTGTGGTTGCAGGGGTCGAGTCTTAGCTCCTGGCCTGTGTGTGTGTGTGTGTGTTTGTGTTCGTGTGTGTCGTGTGTGTGCTAATAACTGAGTCAGAAAGTGTACACTGAAGGGCTAGCTTATACTCTATTAGCTAAGGCAGTGGTATGTGCCGCTGGCGGTGTTTTTTATGTTGGCTGTATACACATTGATGCCTGTTACTAGGTGTATATCTGGCTGCTATACTTCCATGCATTCTGCAAATGGTGTATTGTCAAGAGGAAATTGACAGACACTGTTATCTAAATAAGCTTTGTCCTGGGATGATTTTTTTGTGTGTGAGTACGAGGGAGAAATGTTGCTGTGCAGTACTCAGATTCTAGGTGAAACTCCAAACCTGGTCACCACTGTACCTTCAATAAGTGTGTATGACTTGTTTAACGGGTTTTTCTCCAGACATGACCTCCTGGAGTGTTGGTAAGTACATGTCTGGCACTCAATTTGGAGGGGGGGTGATCTTGCAGTTGTGTGTGGGGATCTGTGATGTGGGGTGTAGTGTTGTGTGGCAAAACTGCAGTAGAAAGGGGGCATGAAGGTGTCTAGCTATTTTTAGCCACCCTAGTCATGGTAGATGGCTGTTGATTTGAGTGGGTAAAAAAAGATGTGTATCCGGGGTATTAGCTGGTGCTATACTCTCGATTGGTTTTGGTCAAGAGGAGAAGACATGCCTAGTTTTGATTCGGGTAGATTCTTGTGAGGTAGGTCACAGACCGGAGATGTTGCATCCCGTAATTTTCATGTTATACGTAGATCACTTGGTCACCGCATTCAAATTTTATTTTAATTTCCCGACGATTATAATACAGTTTATTTAAGGGGGTTAATACCATTTTGGACATTGAACTTTAAGGCCTTGAAAAAAAATGCAGTGGAAGTTTTCTGTAAAGTGTTAATTTATATTTTTAGGCAGACAGCTATGTGGTAGTGGTTTTGATTGAGAAAAAAATATTTGATCATCAGCCGGACTCCTCGTCGTTGTATTTATTATGCGTGACAGCAAGCAAAAACTGGTTGTAGGCGCGATTCCACAGTATTCACGACGGGCGCGGGGTGGTTGACCCGAATTCTCCAGTAATCAATATTTGGGGGGGTATTCACAGTATTTTTTGATTTAGTTATCTTAAAAGGTAATTCACTTATGGACGATTGTATTTGCCTGACAAGAAAAAATTATAGGTTTTTTTGGGTAAATGTAAAATTATTCATTTTGGAGGATGGTATTTTGGGCTCGGGTATTCATTATGGGTCGTGGTCTTGCTACAGTATGGCCATTATGGGTCGTTGTATTATGTGTAATCATAAATATTGGGGGTGGTAGTTGCCACAGTATTCATTGTAGGGGTGGTAGTTGCCACAGTATTCATTATGGGGGTGGTAGTTGCCACAGTATTCATTATGGGGGTGGTAGTTGCTACAGTATTCATTGTAGGGGTGGTAGTTGCACAGTATTCATTATGGGGGTGGTAGTTGCTACAGTATTCATTGTATGGGGGTGGTAGTTGCCACAGTATTCATTATGGGGGTGGTAGTTGCCACAGTATTCATTGGGGGTGGTAGTTGCTACAGTATTCATTGTAGGGGTGGTAGTTGCTACAGTATTCATTTAGGGGGTGGTAGTTGCACAGTATTCATTATGGGGTGGTAGTTGCTACAGTATTCATTGTAGGGGTGGTAGTTGCTACAGTATTCATTGTAGGGGTGGTAGTTGCCACAGTATTCATTGTGGGGGTGGTAGTTGCTACAGTATTCATTGTGGGGGTGGTAGTTGCCACAGTATTCATTGTGGGGGTGGTAGTTGCTACAGTATTCATTTGGGGGGGTTTAGTTGCCTACAGTATTCATTGTAGGGGTGGTAGTTGCCTACAGTATTCATTATGGGGTGGTAGTTGCACAGTATTCATTGTGGGGTGGTAGTTGCTACAGTATTCATTTAGGGGTGGTAGTTGCTCAGTATTCATTGTAGGGGTGGTAGTTGCACAGTATTCATTGTAGGGGTGGTGTTGCTACAGTTTTCATTGTGGGGTGGTGGTTGCTACAGTATTCATTTGGGGGTGGGAGTTGCTACAGTATTCATTTAGGGGTGGTGTTCCCACAGTATTCATTTGGGGGGTGGTTGTTACAGTATTCATTGTAGGGGTGGTAGTTGCTACAGTATTCATTGTAGGGGTGGTAGTTGCTACAGTATTCATTGTAGGGGTGGTGGTTGCTACAGTATTCATTGTAGGGGTGGTGGTTGCCACAGTATTCATTGTAGGGGTGGTGGTTGCTACAGTATTCATTGTAGGGGTGGTAGTTGCTACAGTATTCATTATGGGGGTGGTAGTTGCTACAGTATTCATTATGGGGGTGGTAGTTGCTACAGTATTTTAGGGGTGGTAGTTGCTACAGTATTCATTTGGGGGTGGTAGTTGCTACAGTATTCATTTGGGGGTGGTAGTTGCTACAGTATTCATTATGGGGGTGGTAGTTGCTACAGTATTCATTATAGGGGTGGTAGTTGCTACAGTATTCATTGTAGGGGTGGTAGTTGCTACAGTATTCATTTGGGGGTGGTAGTTGCTACAGTATTCATTATAGGGGTGGTAGTTGCTACAGTATTCATTGTAGGGGTGGTAGTTGCTACAGTATTCATTATGGGGGTGGTAGTTGCTACAGTATTCATTATGGGGGTGGTAGTTGCTACAGTATTCATTGTAGGGGTGGTAGTTGCTACAGTATTCATTGTAGGGGTGGTAGTTGCTACAGTATTCATTGGGGGTGGTAGTTGCTACAGTATTCATTGTAGGGGTGGTAGTTACCACAGTATTCATTATGGGGGTGGTAGTTGCACAGTATTCATTATAGGGGTGGTAGTTGCTACATATTCATTATAGGGGTGGTAGTTGCACAGTATTCATTATGGGGGTGGTAGTTGCTACAGTATTCATTGTAGGGGTGGTAGTTGCTATAATATTCATTATGGGGGCTGGTAGTTGCTATAATATTCATTATGGGGGCTGGTAGTTGCTATAATATTCATTATGGGGGCTGGTAGTTGCTATAATAATCATTATAGGGGTGGTAGTTGCTACAGTATTCATTGTAGGGGTGGTAGTTACCACAGTATTCATTATGGGGTGGTAGTTGCTACAGTATTCATTGTAGGGGTGGTAGTTGCTACAGTATTCATTGTAGGGGTGGTAGTTGCTACAGTATTCATTGTAGGGGTGGTAGTTGCTACAGTATTCATTGTAGGGCGGTGTTGCACGTATCATTGTAGGGTGGTAAGTTGCACAGTATTCATTGTAGGGGTGGTAGTTGCTACAGTATTCATTGTAGGGGTGGTAGTTGCCACAGTATTCATTACGGGGGTGGTAGTTGCTACAATATTCATTATGGGGGGTGGTAGTTGCTACAGTATTCATTGTAAGGGTGGTAGTTGCTACAGTATTCATTGTAAGGGTGGTAGTTCCTACAGTATTCATTGTAGGGGTGGTAGTTGCTACAGTATTCATTGTAGGGGTGGTAGTTGCTACAGTATTCATTGTAGGGGTGGTAGTTGCCACAGTATTCATTGTAGGGGTGGTAGTTGCTACAGTATTCATTGTAGGGGTGGTAGTTGCTACAGTATTCATTGTAGGGGTGGTAGTTGCTACAGTATTCATTGTAGGGTGGTAGTTACACAGTATTCATTTGGGGTGGTGGTTGCTACAGTATTCATTGTAGGGGTGGGTAGTTACATGATTCATTATGGGGGTGGTAGTTGCTACAGTATTCATTGTAGGGGTGGTAGTTACCACAGTATTCATTATGGGGGTGGTAGTTGCTATAATATTCATTATGAGGGGTGTTAGTTACTACAGTATTCATTGTAGGGGGGGTAGTTGCTGCAGTATTCATTGTAGGGGTGGTAGTTGCTAGCAGTATATCATTGTAGGGGTGGTAGTTGCTACAGTATTCATTGTAGGGGTGGTAGTTGCTACAGTATTCATTGTAGGGGTGGTAGTTGCTACAGTATTCATTGTAGGGGTGGTAGTTGCTACAGTATTCATTGTAGGGGTGGTAGTTGCTGCAGTATTCATTGTAGGGGTGGTAGTTGCCACAGTATTCATTATGGGGAGTGGTAGTTGCTACAGTATTCATTGTAGGGGTGGTAGTTGCTACAGTATTCATTGTAGGGGTGGTAGTTGCTACAGTATTCATTGTAGGGGTGGTAGTTGCTACAGTATTCATTGTAGGGGTGGTAGTTGCCACAGTATTCATTATGGGAGTGGTAGTTGCTATAATATTCATTATGGGGGGTGGTAGTTACCACAGTATTCATTGTAGGGGTGGTAGTTGCTACAGTATTCATTATGGGGGTGGTAGTTGCTACAGTATTCATTGTAGGG